TGTAATTACTGTACATATAGATCGTTTATGTAAAAATATTTTACCTATGTCGTTCACCAAAATAGTACCACGATGGACTATTAATCTACTATATTCTATAAAACATTCTGTTTTCAAGATGACTCAGTAGAATGTTCAGTCATCTCGACTCTCTTCGTGGAAAAGCAAATCGTCAGAAAAGAGCGACACCTATACTTTGATTTGAAAGACTTTTACATTCATTCGTCACGATCGGCGATCGGATCTTTCTGGAACTTACACTACACTGTTATATACAAATGGCGACGAGTAGGATAATTTACTCATACCGAGAGTCATACGACACACGATCAACACGAGCTCGATCTTGGATGTCTTGAATGCGGATCACTCTGTACGGTACTTCGTCGTATACATGAACACATCAGTACAGTACATACTTATCACGCCTCCGACTGCATGCTTCTGAGAGCTAGCCAGTGTAAAGACTTCTTCGTTCACGGACGAACATATATGCGGAAATGATGCAGTCTCGTCCTCCGTGTGAACGGTGTGATGTTCGATAGAGGTACACGCCACATGCACATCATCATCCAAATCTTTCCGAACATCATGATTTAATTGTCCCATTGCACATACTTTCTTATTATGAGATTATTGCGATGCGCGCATGATTGGTAAATTATTCGAGAGCTATACAATCGTGCGCGTATATAGCATATACGGTATATATAGGGTCACAGATGTCAATATATATTTTTTTATTGACACCATTGACGCATGTGTTGTTTCAGCGTCTTTTCACCCGCGATGCAGGTCACTCCGAGGTCATTGATGTTCAAACCTAATGGAGAAAGTATCATTAAAAATACCTTACGAATTAAGAGACCCCGTAAAAACAATTAATTAATTTTTAAATAACTCATAATTTTTAACCAAAAGCTAGATCATTGATGAATCTTGACAGCATTTATATTATCACAAATAATTATATTTCTGCATTCATATGACATTAATTCAAAATCAGAGGACAAAAAAAGCCCGGTTTGCTTTGTTTCAGTAACTGGCGAAACAACCCTTATCCGTACGTCCCATTCACACTCGTCGTTCGTATATAGGACTATATAGGAGTAACTATGAAACTAACCATGCAGAATCATACTTCACAGTTTAGAAACAGACTTGACAGTAATAAAAACGGATCGGCAAATTATTCACAGAAAAGCTCAATTATCCACCGAATAAGACGGAGAATAATAAAATGGTAGTCAAAATCCAGAAAACGGCAGTTGATATAAGAAATTTTATTTTAGAATAAAACAACTGATATATATATATATATATGAGACACGTTTTCGCATGTCTTTATATTAATCAATGATGGTGCAATGCATGCAAAGAGCGATTCAGAGGGGTATTCAATGATTTCAATCCGCTTATTGCTCAAAACAACATGAGCACCATCATCCAAATAGATTCTAAAAAGTTTTCCAAGATAAGAACAAAATGATCAGGACATGGTCAAAAATCAAAATAATAGTGTCTCAAAGTCGAATTTCAAGCAACCAGCAAAAACTTCGCCTTTGCGGGCCGGGAGCTTTTGATGAGTTATACAGGGTGGGCCAAAAAAAAAGTAAACCGATTTTTGGCTTGAAATAGCTCCTTAGCAAATTGAGCTGTGGCAATGAAGAAAAACACCAAATGAAAGCTTATTCAGTTCTCTTTCAAATGGTATAAAATGTTATGATCCCAATTGCCATGGAATGGTCACAAGAACCATTTGAATGAAAACTTTCAAAAACAAAGTTTTCAGGTGACTTTTTCCACTAAGCTGCTGGCTTGGATGAGAGTTCTTTGTATCAATAAAGGAAATGCATGATGTAATATTGTAATGTACAATAATGTAACCAGCAAACTTCATGCTGTCTTGGAGAGCCTGCGCATATTCTCAAAATTCTGACAGAGGGGTTGAAAACGGGGAAGGAATTGGCAAGATGGCACGTGTGCTGCTGGGCGCTGGCCTTGCGGCTCCCAGTGACACTGACACACCGCATGCGCTTTTTTTCTGGATGACTGGATTGCAGAAACTGATCTTGAATGAAAATTATTTTTGATTAAACTGATTTGGAGTGCAACTCAAAATCAGTTTAATTCAAGTTGATTTTCAGTTTAACTCAAGGCGAGTTTCAGTTGAAGTGTTGAACTCAACTTGAGTGAAACTCAAACTGATTTTGAGTGAAACTCAGCTTGAATTAACAAATCAGTCCAGGCGATCAGTTTAATTCAAAATCATTTTCACTTAGGATCAGTTTCTATAGACTTTCTACTATCCAGTCTTTCAGAAAAAAATGTGTATGCGGTGTGTCACTGGGAGCTGCAAGGCCAGCACCCAGTAGCACGCGTGCATGACAGAAGCCCTGGAGCATCCCATCTTGCCAATTTCCTTCCCCGTTTTCAACCCATCAGTCAGAATTCTGGGAACATCTGCAGGCTCTCCAAGAAGCATGAATAAGTTTGCTGGTTACATTATTGCACATCATGCATTTCATTTATTGATGCAAGCATCTCTGCAGAACAGCACCTAGTGGAAAAATTTGCCTGACAATTTTTTTTTAAAGTTTTCATTCAAATTAAAACTTCTTCGAATGGTCATTCTTGTGACCATTCCATGGCACTTGGGACCATAACATTTTATAATACTGTATTTGAATAAAGAGAATTGAACAAGCTTTCATGTGATGTGTTTTTTTGTGCTGCCACAGCTCAATTTTCTACTCAGCTATTTCAAGTAAAAAATCCATTCACTTTTTTTTTGGCCCACCCTGTATATGTTTCAGTCAAGGAACCAGCTATGCACAAGCTTGTTTTTTTGTATGAAAACATAGGAGAATTGCACAAAATTGTTGTCTATTTCAAGTAAAAAATCCATTCACTTTTTTTTGGCCCACCCTGTATATGTTTCAGTCAAGGAACCAGCTATGCACAAGCTTGTTTTTTTGTATGAAAACATAGGAGAATTGCACAAAATTGTTGGTGTTATTCTGGGCCTTGAATAGCTTCTTAAACGAGTTGACAGGGTGTTAAACGTAGAGGCAGCTAGCTATATGCGTTTGTTAGCCCACTTTAGGCTACTTCCTTCCAGAACACAAAAATTCCTTATTTTAGTTTTTTTATCTTTCCTGCATGAAGAAAATACATCACAATAGCCAAAAGTCCAAATAAATTTGAGTTATAGAGCAGTTTAAGAGATGAGGAAAAGCCAGCATTAAGTTAGGGATGTTTTTAATTGATTGTTTTAAAAAGGATTTAGACAGCAACTTGAAAAATAAACTTAGGGAGGCATTTGACTTAGAGGGGTTTGAGTCATTGAGGTTCAATTGTATGCTGTATATAAAATATGTAGCAAAGTTATTTCCGCATACGAATTAATTAAACGGTAATGTTTTCTACCTTTTAATCCACAAAACATACACATTCCAGATTGAATTAACGTCCAAATAAAATAAGAAACATTTCAGCGATGAGAATAAAAGTCTGGAATGTTGGCCAAGCTAGAAAGTGATTAACACTGAGGACAGCAAATAAAGGCTGCTGGCTTCATCCTGTTAACAGCAAACTTTAAAAAAGTAAGTAACATTTCCGCTTCGTATGAACCAAATTTTGGATTACATCAAATGTTGCTCTCATCCAGCTACTGTTTTGACAAATGAGTTTGTTAAACTATATACAGTACTAATATACATCTGTAAAGTCCAACCTCACGTCACCAGTACACCACCATCTGTTATTGTCTTTGAGTTTTGCTCTCATCCAGCTACTGTTTTGACAAATGAGTTTGTTAAACTATATACAGTACAATACTAATATACATCTGTAAAGTCCAACCTCACGTCACCAGTACACCACCATCTGTTATTGTCTTTGAGTTTCTGGAGTGTTCTGCTATATGTAGTGCTGGCGTATCAAAATTACCGTTTTTCTTATAAAAACGGACGAAGATTACAGTATCACTTAATGCAAGAGCAATGCACATGATTTCTGCATCATGCAATTCCGATAAAAAAGATCGCCATTTAAAAGAAGGAATCCACGCAAATCAAACTATAGATGCCTTATGAAATTCTTGCACATACTAGCGCGGCGGCACAGTGTACTTATATCTACTGCAGTTTCAGGAGAAAATAAATTGTAAAACAAATACGCGGTATTGTAGTATTCTCGCATGATTCCATACGGTGAAATGCTGCATTCATCATAATACAGTATGAGCTATAAAATACTGTATTGAGAAGAAAAGCAACTTATCTGAACAATGTAAATAATGAATGCGTGAATAGTCTCAAAAGATATAAATAAAATAAGTTTAGACTTAATTCCTTTTTGCATAATAACGCGACCTAAGGACTAATTGACAGAATTAAGGATACAGTTGTGGACGAGTGGTTTTTCAGTCTACGACCACAAAAACTAATAATAATTCATTCCTTCCACAGTTGGAGAATGAAATCCCTTTTCCAGCACTAAGCTAGTTTTACATTAAATTGATGCTTAAATTCCAGCATAAAGTAAGTCATATAATTATAAAATATACAGTAATTAACTTCGAACGACAATATAGCTAGTGAAATGTGAATACTGTAAGTTCAAAATTACTTTTGTGAACATGGAAAACGCTGTTGGCAAAATTCAAGGGTTTCATCGTATAGGGAACAAATCGCATGCTTCCTCATGTCATTTTAACCCCAATTGAGAAATCGGCTTTGTGCGGATGAGCATATGCATGAATAGTCGTGATTTACAAATTTTACACCGTACCTCAGTGATGCGTAGATGTAATTGTGCTTGGCCATATTTTGAATTTTGTGTTAAAACAAGTAAAATACATTATACTTCAGCATAAACTGCTGAAATAAGGAACGGCGTAAATGAAGTTCCCGAACGAACATTTTCTTTCCAAGGGATTGAGAAAGTAAATGCGCTTTAGTGGAAATAATGTTCCGAAGAAAGGACACATGAAGAAGTTCATCCGCATACGCATTGTATTTTCACACTCAATTCAATTTCCTTATTAATCGTTCATCATTTGAAGGCTGTCCGAGTGAAGTAAAGTTTCGGTCAATCCCTCCACGGGCAGAACAATTTCTTCCGAAAGGTTTCATCTTTACAGTGGTCAGATCTTTCCACAAACTTGCACGATCTTCGAGTCCGTTTCCCAATTGTTCCTTCTTCCCACAGCCAAACCCCCTCAGCAAAAGAAACAAAGGCGGAAACTTTCAACGAAGAAACAAAAAATACGTTTGTTCAATCGTTAAGCCTAGTATAGACATAGTCCTTCGAACACCTTTTGAAAGAAACAAGCCGATATACGCTTCACGATGAGAATCCCACGTAAAATTTGAATAATACGTGAGTTTTCACACTCAACTCATAAGGATTACTCATCCAAGAAGTCACAAGAAAGAAGGAAAAATATCTTCAACTGAGAACACAGACGCGCGTGTCTTAACATTGCTGTCTTCGACAATAGAAAAAAGCTCTGCATCAGGAGCAGAAACAACAATTTGATGGCACTGTCCCTTCCAATGAAAGCCCGCTTCCTTAATCTCAAAGTCAAACTGGGCCAAAGAAGATTTCATTCCGAAAGGTTGAACTAAAATTTCGACTCCCAAGGTCTTTTCAAAATTCGAACACTCAAGGCTGTAAATTTCAATACAGTTTTCCAACGAAATGTTAGATTTCGCAGTCATTCGCGTATCCACGTTTTCCGCAGTAAGTACTGTACAAGTAAATTTTATTCAATGCAGGTTTGTCTTGATAAACGACACATTGGCATGTATCAATAATTTTCCGTCATCTAGGCTTGATCAACTTCTTTGACAAACCGATTAAGACTGGATATGCGAAGAGTCCGAAGAATAATTCTGCATTGGAAACCCCAGAATTTCTGTTATGATTCACGGATCGAAGTGAAACACATCCAGAAGTTCATCAAAAATGTGGTTGAATAATGCAGAACGATCACAAAGAAATGTAAAGAATAGGAGAACTGAAAAAATACCATTCCCCAAGTATCTCACGTATACCACTGCAGGTTAATCTACCAAAACTTCGCTCACGAAAGTGGCCCAGAAGTGAAATGGATACTCTTATTCAGTTAATTTGAAGATTCAGTTAATTTGTTTTGTTTAAGTTATGATTTTCAGCGAGTTCTACCCATACGAGCTATCATCGCACTGGACATCAACTTGGTGACGAAATTTTCACTGCATCGCAACTTTTTCGACACCTTCCAACTTCCAAGACTTCGGACACTTCCGCACTAATCAAGATCAAATACTGACTTCATCGTGAAGCTGCATTCAAAAGTGTTCGAATGAAGTTTTAATGGGGGCTAGGATACCAGTTAGAGCTACTTCAGTGACCCTAATTGGAAATTTACGCATATTCGTCGATGAAAAATCGACTCATTCAAGATACACTTCAGTCATTGATATGATTATTCAGCACAAACAGAAGTACGACTACTCGCTGATGATCGCACGTGCAGATAAATGATTCTCGACTATGGAAGCGGGCGTCGTGATCGGAAAGCAGTAACTCATCCCCCTCACATTCCGCGAACCTCACAATCCTTTCAAATTTTCCAATAATCATTCACGAAAAAGCCCCTAATCCTAAATCTTCGCTTATCCATGCTAGCTGTACAACGAAACCTCAGGAGCTCGGGTTCAAGCCAGGAGACTCCATTCCCCTTCTCCCACCCAGCACAGCTAGAATTCTCGTCCTTTGCGCGGATTGCATGCACCCTAGTTGGTCCCAGGCATAAACCTGTAGCGCTGCAGTTCGCCTAACATCATCTCATCAACCGACACCTACATCTAAAGTGCAACACCCAGCTAAGAAATTTCTTTTTTCCTACACGTCGAACCCGTCTGCTATCAACAATTCCCGGGGCGTCTTGGCAACACAGAGGACTAGAACACTGAAGGCAAATGGAAACTGGTTCTCTGGACTAGTTTAACATCGATCCAAACACGCGTTCAGGAACTCATGAGTTAGTGACAAAAAAAAAATACGTATCAACGCAGAATCCAGCAAACGAGGCATTCTTACAAATTACTCTGCTTTCGCACTATCAAAATGAATCCCGACTTCCAATAGATATCCAACAATAGAACATTAAAAACTTACTGTGTTCTAAAACCTCTTCGCCAAAAAATTAAACCTGCGCTCACGCTCCAAATTGCAATCCTCATGTCAAGGCAACAAAAGGGGCAGAAATTTCTCAATTACGGAAATGAATCTTTCACAGGAACACTCAAATGCGTTGGATTAAAAAGCATACGTCTCTGATTTCAATACGTAAGACGACCCGCACTATGTTTGGAATAAATGCGAAGGGCAAGAGAGGACATTTGACGAAACTAAAAATATGGGAACCCCCACGGTCGTTGCCTAGAAAACAAACCAGCACCAAAAATATGGAACTCATCACTCACTCGAAAAAAAATAAAATAAAAATCGGAATGAAGAACGGGGAATGATGGCAATTTGGACCAAATGATTTCTGAACATATGTTGCTCAGCCGCTAAAAATATATTCATACGAGTCATTATTTTCTTTCTGCTTCCCCACCCTGTTTATCAAGGGCCCACTAAAAATGACACACGAACAAGATTCGGGGCAGGGATCAGAAGAGGAGGAAACAAGAGCGCCGTGTTGATCGAAGAGATTCCAACTTCATCGCAACTCGTTCGGGTTGCTCTCTCCAAGCACCGCAGCCATTTGGCTCTCATACGCCTTCGCGTTCCGCTTCATGATGTTCTTACACGGGCCCAAAAGCCGCTCGAACGCACTCACTTCTAGAACTGTTGAATTTTGAAATCAAAAGTCAGATAAATAAAAAATGCTGTTATTCGAGTATGGTTTTCCGATTGAAAAACCAAAATTTTCTCGTCTTCGTAGAGATTTATCTTACTGAAAAGAATCCATCATACGATATACCACCGAATGATGAATTCTTCGTTCAATCGACGCAGGATACGAATGAATTTTGCTTTAGATCTAATTAACTATTCTATGAAGCTTCAACATACTGGTGATGGCAAATAAAATTTTGGGATACAGTAAACGAGAATCTCGTCAGTCCTTTGCGCACAACTAATTCGTCTTTCTCGCCCGGTTTACACGTAGAAAAAAGAATGCGATTTACATAAATTCACATAAGTGAATAAGCGAACGAACAATAATTAAAAGAAGGCTGTAGAAGTAGTAGCTGAAGCCTGTCCAGAAACTGCATTCATCCGCCATGAAAGCACAGGGATATTTTGATTTAATCTTCTAGAAAAGTTTCTCCAATCGCAACACAATCGAGTTTTTGTCAATAAAATCACGGTAAATTCGAAATCACACAATTGACGGTCGACGACGGCAGTTCCTAGTCAGTACATTAAAGTAATACTCACATGCAAGCTTCACGTCAGAAACGGCAATAACATTGGCAGCACGCGGCTTGTGCGTCAAGAGCGCCAACTCGCCGAAATAGCCTCCAGTGCTCAGCCGATTTATCTGCAAAACCAGACAATAAATGCTTAGCTAAAAAGCCGGAGTGCATACGCCAGACAAACGGGCGTCAATCGGTACCGATACAAATTGAGAACTTGACACAAATGGCTAGTTTCATTCTCCACCAATTTTGAATTTTATTTTAGGTCATGTACCGTGGTCAATCAGAAGAGTTGGCGAATAAGGTCAACATCGAAATCACAAAACGATAATCCACTAAGAGAAAATTGTTCGACTGGATGACATTTTTATCTTTTCTAAAACGTATGTTGCTCCTTCTCATATATTGTAGTTTCTAAAATCAATGAAAAGCAATCTCAGCATTTAAATCTATACACGTTTATCTTTATTAGTATCATGATGAAATTTCGAATCTTCTTCCAAAACCAATAATTATTGAATGAAAAAGGGCTTCGTAGACGAAAAAATTCAAATAAAGCAATTGACCATGGCAGATTTCCTTCTCGATTCATTTGGTCAAAGTGCTTTTTCATTCACGGTAAAAACCATGTCACTACCTAAAAGGTATCACCACCTTCCAACGATATACCGAACAACCACCGCCGGTAGGGCTTTCAAACCGACATCTGACCTGCTCTTAATCAAGGAAAATCTCGAAGATTTTGCATAAACATTTACACTCTCGACTCTTTCATAAACCAAGAAGGGAGCAAAGCTGAAGACTAGCACCGTGGCAAGACAAGTAATAATTGTATTAGGAGTTCCAACATGCGGTAGAGGGTAAAAATAAGCACAAATTTCTGACGGGGTGAAAGCTGCGAAGAAGTTGAAAAGCTCTAGCTGTGTGCAGGTACACTTCATTGATCTTTGCCGCCAAATTTATCCGTCATTCGGCCATGAAGAAGACCGTGAATGAGTCAGTCAAAAAGTAGCGTCCCATAAAAATGAACCAGTTACATATTAGTCTCACAACGAGTTACTCTTTAAAATGAGCATGCGTGATCTTGATGATATTCGCAAACGATACATTTCGGCACGTGTGCCTGTGCTAATGATCAACACACACTTTATTCAAGAAAATATTCTCCTTCCGCACGCATCACTCACAAAAAAAAACGTTCACACTCTCAAGTCTCACGAAATTCACCAAAATTATCGTAAAACGAATAGTTTTCAAAAGTCAGATATAACCGCCTTCACAAAACTTGATGAAAGCTAAACGAGAGTATCAACAAAATAATGCATTTATCGTGGAATAATCGCGAATACTTACCTCTTTCTGGCCATTGGGAGTCTCAACAGTCACCATAACAGTACCATCTTCAATGAAGTACATTCCATCGGCAGCGTCGCCTTGCTTAATGATCGTGTCGTTGGTGTGATATGTCTTAGCTACAAGGGCGTCCGCCAGATTCATCCTCTCGTACGCCTGGTTCAAATGAGACGATCACCCGCATGAGATACACATAAGGTACTTTTGTTCAATGGAAGCAGTCAATAGACTTGGCAAAACTTGTAAACGGAGCTCTTACATGGAAAATATACTTGAACGCGTAAAATATACGGTTGATCTCTTAAAAAAGAATCAGCATACTCCGCAAGAGAAACGTGTCCCAAGCATATCAATTACGGAATTAAAAAATGATATTAGCCATTTTAATCATGATTGCCAAATCATTTCATCAGCGGAAAGTCGGATATTTCAGTAAACCGGTAAGTGGCAACAATAAATTTTCGTCGCATTTCTGTGCAAGAAAATCATAGGTAAAGCTTATTCGGTGAGAGGGATTAAAGAGCTAACCGGAACATCTTCCTGTCATCAAGGACTACGTTTTTCCTGATAATTGATCTCTGGTGGGTAAGAATAGTTTTGCACACATTCATGCAAGCGAGAAGCTTAGGAGAGGACTTTTCCGGTTACAACACATACAGGGGAATACAATGAAACGGGAAACATCGTGGAGACGGTGTAACAGTGGCGCTGTCCTCGCATGTGACTGACCACAAAATAAAGATCGTGCCTTACCAAATGTTAAATGCTCCAGTGAGCTACTAATAATACACTGTAAAATTTGCAAAAGTTCAGGGGTTGTTCAGAGGCAACGAATCGAACATGCATAATCTAAATGAGGTTCCACAAGAACGCGAAGAGTCATGTGAAAGTAATAAGCACCGGTGAAATGTTAATCGTAGGGAACGTCTGAATGGGATACAACTTCAATTTTGAACACACTCTTAGAATCTCACTTGGATAATAACGCAAAATTACCATGTCAAAAAACACCGTCAAATACCACATTTCTCAATCGTATAGGTACTGTACAAGAACAAAACTAACGTCGTTGATCCCGCACAAATACAGTCCTCTTTTCACGAAGGCGCACACTTCACACATAGAAATTCAAGAGGAAAAAATCCGTCGTAGAGAACCCCTACAACATAGCGAGAGAATCCAATGAGAAAAAAATCTTTATACACAGAAAACTGCCGTTGACAAGATTGTTGTAGAATGTAGTGACTCCATCTGTAACAATTCTGGAGACTGGCATTACGCCTACGAGAATACAGTACTTGAGTGGAATCCAAGCAGCAATCGTACACTCTACTTCCTAAAATTACTTCGGCATCGCGAACAAAATTGTTCGTCGAGGGAGAAAAATCGCACAAACCTCTAAGGCAGATAACATTGGCACACGAGTCAGAAGCCCCTCATGCAAACTTCGCTTTTTGTACGCCGACTGCGCCACGAGGCGTTTGAAAGTGTTACGGCCCATTCCCCAAAGTATTCCATTCGTTTCGGCCACAATAGTTGCTGCTCGCGGCTGATTGTACATCAAGGCAAGCTCTCCAAAGAATCCTGCATTGTTGTACGTTCCCACTTTCTTGGTCTTGTGACATGTTTCCGATTCCCGAACGTGAATACTGTACTCGCCACTGCAGATGAAAAAAACCAACACAATTGAAAAATATCAGACGGTGTGGGTATCAGCAGAACATGGCACGAGGACTACATAAAAAGCAAGAATTAACGCGATAAATCATAATGGAATCGTCCATAAGGCGAATACTTACTCATCAATGACATAAAAATTGTCACCATCATCCCCTTGACGGATTACCACCTCACCAGCTTGCACTTTCTTCTCAAAAAAAGCATCAACCACTTCCTGAAGTTGTTGCTGCAAAAACGAGAAGCGGTCAAATGAAGGACGAGAAAGGCACACAAATCTGCTCACCGGGTCCAAGTGCTTGAACAAGAAAATATCTTTCAGTGCATTCTGAAGCCTTTGACGCTGCTCATCCGACTTCGGGTAAATTGGATTCTGGGGAAGAACAAGATGAGATAAAATAGGGTTATTCCGGCAACTGTATCCAACGCGCAGACATTCAAAAAATATACAGAAGAACTACGATTGTTTTAACTAATCTAGACCGAAGGCAGATCGGATAGTTGAATCTTGACACAACCATACGCCATGGCACCTAACGGGTGAAAAGACGCGGTCAGAAACCGTCGCGGAAATGCTGATTTCAAGGGTACAATACTCAGACCTTCACCTCAAGTTATCTTTCTTCATGCTCAACTCATAACAATGCAGCTAATATAATATTTGCTTGATATTTGTAGCTTCGATTATCGCATAACACTGTGTAGTGTTGAGAAAAATAAACTTTCTCAGCAACATCTTAATTTAAGTTCATAAGAGTCTTTAGAACACACATCGGGAATGAGTGAAGAGATCACATCATTGCTGGATGCCTGAGAATTTCCTGCGGCCAGCCTTTCAGATACTTCGAGTTAATCCAGCATCAACCAGGAAACACAGGAAATGAAAGTCATACCTTGACGTTGGCATCATCATCTTCTTCAGGATTATAGGCCTCTGAATACACGGACTTCCGACGCTGTCCACGGACCGGGGGTTCTGAACAAACAAATTATAATTCCATATCATCCTTCAGGACCACAACGACAAGAAACAAACCGGAATCCATTGAGGAAGAATCAAGAGGAGACTGGCTCACTGAAACACTACCTTCCTTGAGCGCCATAAATTAATTTGGAGCAAGGGTTTAACAAGGTTTTCCAATGTTTCAGGTTCGTTGCGATTGCATGGGCTATCCGGATGAACCTTCGAAATATTGTAATTCTCACCAATTGGAAGATCATCGTCAGATTCTTCTGATTCTTCTCCTCCATTCGTATATTCGTTCCCTTTATGAACGAATGACTGACGATCCGGAGAATCTCGAAGGCGCGAGAAATACTCGACCGCGTAGTCCACAAGATCCGCAGGTTGATTGATGAGACAAGCAACTGTGAATTCTAAGAGCAGATCTTGCAGTTCGGGAGGAACTGAGTAGCGCCGGCTGGAATCCATGGTGGAAAGAATAACGTCTTGAGGAGTTCGAAGGTACGCGAAGATATTACAGCAGATTACAGTCAACGCGGATCGTACTATAGGCAGTCTACACCATTCGCACGCATTCGCGACCAGCGACGAAAATATTTTTTCGTTGCACTGGACGCAGAGGTACCCATGAACGAGAATTAAACAATTCCTGGAAAAAAAATCGCGATTCAGAAAGATGGGTCCATAAGATGCTCCGAACTTGAAACACGAGGAACACAACCGAAGTCGATGCAAGCGATGAAATTAAACGGATTCAAAAAGGTCAACTCATCGCGATTCAATTGTTGCGTCAGCATGTAACAAGGGATATTCCCGACATCCCCGCAAACCACATGCGAAAAATTGTACACATCGTGCTTCGAATCATACGCACAACTCAGAACGTACTGAATTTCAACCTGACCCTCTGCATTACACCCCGAGATCACATTCAGGCTCTTACTGCACCTGGCAGATTACTCCGACTCAGATACCTCAGATTGCGTGGGATTGGGTCTGACTCTTGAGGCCACACAGATGCAACATGCCTCGCGTTTTGTACAGGAATGATTAAATCCAGGGATCAAGGGAGTACAGTACATGGTAATTTCCATGCTTAGAAGGCAATAGGAATTTCACACATGAAACTCACTTTATCATTCTCCAATAGTAATTCATAATTGCAACAGTTGTTTCTATTCAAGACGCTTCCAAATATAGATGTCGCTATAAACGCATCAATTTTGCTGCGCTCATTCCCCTTCTCAAATCAACTGCGGCCGTTTCAGTCGAACAGAGCGTCATCTGCGATCAACAAAGTAAAGATCCCATTAAGAAAGTCCACCTGTCCGCCTCTCCTTATTCCCTGTTCATTACCTGCCTCGTAAGTTCTCTTCCGTGCGGGCGTATCCTTGTGTATCTCCAGATTCTGTACTATCTGGAACCTCTTCCACAGGCTTCAAGAGCCGCCGATAAGTCGTCTCTCCCTCGGCAATAGCTTAGGCAGCGTTACCGTAGAGTTGAGAGGGAGCTGCAGCCAAGTTCACTGCAGATGACGGACAGAATCGAGCAATCCAACTTCGCTTCTTACCCTCTGGTCTAGGATGTTCTGCTGTTGGATGCGTCCCGAATAGCTCGAGGGGAGGGCCACGTTCCCTGTACGTAAACTGCAGCGTTGCCATTTAAAATAAAGATGACACATCCCAATAGCACTGAGCTTCAGCAAGCATTTCCTTTTTGTTGCATACAAAATCTGTGCATTGCAGCAAAAACCTTCTGCAGCCTGTTCTTTGCTTTTTGCCAGAATGAACTGCTGCTTAAATGTTCATCTTTGCCAATCAATTTGTTTTTAAGTCAAGAATTTAAAAATGCGGAAAGTTTTTGCACATCTGGGAAAAAAATTGTAATTGAATTTCAGAAATGTTCAGTTTTGTGTAACTATTTTTTCTTAGCTATAACATGTTTCTGGCTTGAAGAAAAATCTATTATCTGTCAAGAATATTTGTTAGGTGTGTTGAATCCGAAGTGAAGTATTCCCAGAGTAGCATGTGTTGAATTGAAAGTTTACATCATGCAATCCGAAAGGAACCTTAGCTCCATTAAATTATCAGAAATTTCCCATTCTCGAAAATCCCAGAATAAAATAATATGCATGATTATGCAGCAACATCATTTTTTGAGAAACAACGGTAAAACAAGTTTGAGATAAATAATACTTATTTTCGATTGTAGATGGAGTGAAAACTAAAAATCCAATGAGATTTAACTTTTAGTAATTGTTTCATAGAATGTGAAGTGACAAATAGGTTACATGCGGACTTGATTGATCTATAAATTAAAATGGTACACTTGTTTTTGTTGAACGTAATGTCGAAGAATTTAAAAAGTCAGAAAGTTTGTGCATATCCGGAGAAAAATGATGATTGAATTTCAGAAATATTTTTTTTATTTTTACCTAATTTTTAATGTCGTAACGTCAAAGAGAAGATCGGTTTTGGAAATCACGTGCAATTTACCGGTTCCAAAGCAAGTGATTTTAAGACACCGCAATATTGCGTTTGTGGGACAATAGATTTTGTTATTAATTATGTTTTACTTTTTTTAAACAGGAAATCGTCGCTATAACGTAGCTTGTCGGATAAACATGAAATCGTCGCTATGCCGTAGTTTTTCAGAAGACTTTTCCCTTAAATTAATCTCTTGGGAATTCCGGTCACCCCTGTCGTCGCATGCCTGTGCAAATTGGTAAGGATGTGAGGAAAGCAGGGACACGTCGAACAAGCGGACCGCTCTGGCGTAGGGAACTGGTGAGTACAATTCTCACTCCTCCCCTGTCTGCTAACTCTCTCCCAGCGTAGATGTTGAGCACGCGTAAGCGAGGTGGTGTAGGAAGCTGATCAGCCAGCGGGAGGGAAGGCTCCATCCGGGCTTGATGGTTGGTGCGGGAGTCATATGGAGGGATGGCCCCCAATGAGCAAGCGCTCTCCTCGCTCCAACTCAGACAGCGAGCCGCTCGACCGCTGTACGATACCGAAAGCCAAAGCCAGCGAGCCCGAGCTGAGTTTCTCGGTTCCGCCATTTTGTTGCGAACTTTTCTCGTTGCGGCCGCTATGTGGACTCGGGTCCTAGTTGGAACAGCTTTTTCTGCTTAATTTCAACCGGAATCGCGCCGAAAATTACGTAGAATTGTGCCAGTGTCAATGAAGTGTGGCTGTACGTGAATTATTTGGACCCATCGTCGATTTTAAGCCGTCGAGAAGGGATTTTGTGTCACCGCTGAATTCGGAGTGGGTTCCCTTAAGGAGTGCTAGTGTCAAGTGGTTCCGTGCGGCGCCGTACGGTGGCGCTGTTGGTTTACGATGGGTCGTCGCGCGGTCAGCGTTGTTGCCGATTATTAGCGACTTCTCCGCATGCCGCGTCGTTCGGATGCACATTTGAACAATCAACCTGCACTGATGCGACACTATCCTGAGGAAATGTGTTCACCATTTTGAAGCTTGATGCCTGTCCGGATAAGTTCCAACTCAGAAAATTTGATTTGCAGTAAAGGACTTATCAAGCGTAACAATGGAAGCGATTGCTTGATTTATATTGTGAAGATAAGCTAGCAGCATGTAATATTGAAGGCTTAATCTTGCATGTATAATTGGTATTGCTTGGAGAAAACCATATCTGACACTGGAAGTTGGCACGACCCTTTGAATTTTATGTTGATTTTAAGTTCTCTTCTGAGACCACTTCATCTCAACTGTCCGACTTGAACACATTGTACCGATAATACGCCGCGTGTAAAATTTTTTACTCTCGAAAATTCGTTCGACTTTACCCCTCGTATAGTTACTAAATTACTTTTAATTTTAACAACCTTCGGGGTTGTGTGTAGCGAAACTTGAATTCCAGTCGGAAATGGAAAGATTTGAAAACATGAATTACGTGTGTTCGTTCTCAGATTGACACTATTGTCTCGCTTGGGGTAACTCGCGCGATGAACCCAGTGAATATGGGTTACGCAGGATAGAACTGTGGACTTTGTGGTGTACTTGTGATGATGGTACTACCCGTCGATGAAGGCGGGAGTACCCATGCGAACTTGATGTAACGACCTCGGAAATTTCCGTGAGTTCGACACCATGGCCGATAACATGATCGAGCCATCACCTGCAAAGCGGCAGAAGATCAGCGACAGCTTTGGCTCAGGTTAGTTCAGCATTCTCTCTGATGTATTTCCCTGTTCGTCTATGCATGACGCGCTATTATGGGGTCGCTGTAGTGCTGAAATCACGCGATTTTTGCAGTTTTTGAACTCGTATTCACTTGGGTAATTTAAAGAATTTAGTGGCTGTAGAAGTTAATTTAAAGAATTTTAGTGGCACAAGATGAGTTGGTAATTTGTTTTTCGATTCGTTGTACCTATGTCTAAATGGAAAGCTTAGTCTTCGTGGTTTGTATCGTGTCTTACAAAGCATTGCGTTGTTTTAGAAAATTCTGAAGGAAAATATCGTGGTTGACCTGTGCAGTATTTTTGGAACGCGTAAATCTGATGTGCCTTCGAGATTTGTGATCCGATGAATTAGTGACGTATTCTTCCTTACACGAGGTATGATGCAGTCGCGTGACTTGGTACTGTATTGCGAATTTTCTGCGGTGAACCCCAAACGCCGAGAGCACGAGTGCTAAGTTGTATTGAGATCGCAATTTGATTTGGGATTTTCTGTTTGTCTATTGCACATTTTGAGAGCGCTCGTTCATATTCGCAGATGAGTTGACTCAGCTGTTGGAGAGTAGTCTCCCAGATGAGTTGATGAATCCGTCATGGCCTGCGGATCCTCCGAAGATGATGTCGCAGCCTCAACAGCCACAGCAGTCGCAGCAGCAACAGCCGCAGCAGCAGAACGGAGGCATGGATGTTCAGAACGACGGCATGATGTCAATGTCGATGAACATGCACCCGAATGTGGGACCTCGCATGCCGTCGGCCGGCAACGCGAGTTTAACTTCGTTACTGAATGCCAAATCAACCCCAGTGCAAAATCAGAATCTGATGGGTCAACTGAATATGAACAAGAAGCTGCCGATGCCCGGGAAGATGAACGTTATGCAGGATATGGGTCCCATGATGGGCATGGCGTCCGCATCTCTCACAGCGTCCAACTCGCTTGCCAACATGGCCAACGCTGCCGTCCACACTAACTCGTCACCCATGAGCAACGTTCGTCCGATTCATCGTGTCCCCATGCAGCACATGCAACACATGAACGGACCCGTGCATCACATAGCTCAAGGGATGCCTCCGCGTGGAGCGCGTATGCCGCAAGGCTACGGATTCGCCAACATGGGGCAGTCTGGGATGATGGGTATGAATCAGGGCATGCGTATGAACTATCAGCCTCGTTACGGTGCTGCGGTGGCGGCGCCTTTGGCCCCGGCTCAGAATGTGACTGTGCCCGTGTCTGTGAATTGCGGGATGATGATGGAACAGAAGCCTGTGGTTTCCATCTCGAATCAGCCGTTCCAGCCCCCAATGCAAAGTCCGCAGCAGTTGCAGTTGCCCCCTGGGAATGCCCCACAGCAGCAGCAGCAACAGCAACAACAGCCGCAACAACCACCGCAGCAACAGCAGCAGCAAACTCCTTTGCAGCCGCAGCAACAGCAGCAGCAAAGTAATGCTTTTGCATCAATGG